GGGACAGGCTTTTCAAGCAACACCAGGTTCTGCCCCTCTGTTTCTCAGCTGTGACCCTAGGTGAGCCTCTGAACCTGGCTTCTCATTTAACAAATGATGAAATAATAGTTTTAGATTTAGATGGGGACAGCTGGTTGGTAATGGGTGATTCAAAAGATTCTAGAAACTCCTCTCTTTCTCCACCTTGGGATGTAAAAAAATCTTATGGAAGTCAAGCACTGAATCTCTCAAACAATGGGATTCTTGGTGACCATGATCTTGACCTTACAGAGGAGACAAGTGATCCTCTGAACACACCCCCTCCAGATATTCTGCATATCTACACTGCTTCATCTACACACAGAAACCTCCTTTTCTGGAAGTAGAAGTGCCCGTTCTTGATGTCATCACTGTTGACATGAAAGAGTGTTAGGCAACACTTATTAATGGCAGGCACTGCTAAGCCCTTCAAATGCCCAGGAAGGAGTCTATTATATACTCATTCTCAGATTCAAGGAAGTAAAATAATCTGCTCAGGCCACGCAGCCAACGAAATGCTAACATCCAACTCTAACCACTGCACAGCATTTCCTCTGCAAGAGATGACACTGGACCCAGAGCTGGAAGGGTCCATGCCTGCACTGCCAAGGACCTTGAGCTTGTGAACATTCTCTGGGACTCAGTTTACCCCTCAGTAGAATGGAGTTTCGACTCTTTATTTGCCCTGGGGATTGAGGCAGGACAGATGGAGAAGCCAAGGTCCGGAGTGGGGCAAGGACCACTTAGTCTGGAATCCAGGTCTCTGGGTACAGCTTGGGCTCTGGCTTCTCTGCTGGCCACTTTCTCTGAAGCCAGGTTGGATCCTGACTAGTCCTGTCTGGGGTGATTCAAGTCCCAGCATCACTCAGGTGGTCATAGTTCTGTGGTACAGGATAGAGGAAGGAGGTGGCAGCAGTTGGCTGCATCTGGGCAGGCCTGGGCCTCCATGTCAAGCCCCATTCTGGGTGCCAGGAATATCTCCTCACAGTCTACATCCATTGAATGCTGAGTGTCAAGCCCCATTCTGAGCACCAGGAATATCTCCCAAAAGTCTGCCAAAGGGGCCCTTTAGAGTAGTGAGAGAAGATCTTCACCCTGAAACCCACAGCGTCCCTTTTCAGCAGGAAGTAGCTAAGAGAATACGCCGTC